GACAGCAGCAGAAAGTAAGCATAACCAAATTGAAAAGTAGACTCTCGCTATTGTGTTTGCAGTGAAACATTTCCATAAAAGGTTATATGGCCGCCACTCCAATTTACTAACGGACTACAAACCGCTTCTTGCTAAATTCGGCACAAAGAAAGGGATTCCAGTATATACGGCCAATCATCTGCAGAGATGGGCGACAACTTTGCTGGGGTACGATTTCAACATCAAGTACCGATCGACGAGCGACGTTCGTCAGGCCGATGCGCCACCAAAGTTGTTGGACGAACAGCACCAACCAGAAGACACTATCATTGCAAATGTCTCAATCGAAACGGAAGTTAACCGCGTGTTCTCGGATACTGTGTGCCAGATCCAAATAGCTTTGAGTCAGATTCGAGACGCCACCTTACGTGCCCTGTTGCTTTCACAGGGGAGCATGTTTTACCATTCACAGTGACCTCAAAAATTTTTGGGCACATAGCTACAACAATTGTTTCAGAGAGGAACTGCACTATCGGTCGTCGAAGGCTGTACCTTGTTTGGTGAACGTGTTGTCATCCCAGCCGAACTTCAATCCAAAATCATATATATCAATTTTACGACGGACATCCCGGTTCCAAGAGGATGAAGGCACTAGTGAAGAGTTATGTGTACTGGCCATTTATGGATTCTCAAGTTGAAGAGTTAGCACAGCGTGTCTTAGCAGTAAAATCGCCGCGGAATTGTGAACTGTTCTCCTGACCGACGCCCACAAAACCATGGTTAAGGGTTCATTTTAATTCCATAGGGCCAATCAAAGGACAGAACTTCTTACTTATTAAAGATGAATACAGAAAATGGCCCGTGATCTTCCAAATGTCGAACACATCAACATCGGCCAGGATTACAATTCTCAGGGAAGTATTCGTGTGATTCGATTTTCTGGAAACAGTAGTATCAGACAATGGACCTCAGTTTATCTCAATACTGCCGAATTTTGTGTGTTACACAGCACGGAGTACGTGCGCTCACCCCACAATCCACAGGATTACGCCTAAACCACAGGCGCCTGACGGAAAGTCCCCAGTAGAATCGCTTCTGCTCAGAAGGTCTCGAAGGAAATTTGATCTAACAAGGTCGCTGGATAGACTCGATTCCGAAAGAAATTTGATGACAGAGCATCAGTACAATCGAGGACATCGCGCTATCCCACGACATTGGACAGGTGTTGGCAAAGGACTATCGAAACAACAAAATCGCTTGGACACCTGGACTGGATTTAAAAAGAAATGGCCATTTCTGCTACGAAGTGGTCGTAGACGATGACAGATGAGTTCGCCACATCAAACAGCTCAGGAGCTACACCTCATTAGACAGAAGAGATGCACTAAGCACACCTCTTGAAACACTTCAGGACGAGCTAAAACTGTAAACGATAGGGGCTAGTCAGGAAGGCTATCAGCCCACCAACCCCTCCTGCACCTGATTGTCGGTTCAGTAGATGGACGGATCGTTGCCCAGTCACTGTCACGCCACTACAGGCTGAAATCATATAATAGTGGACTTCAAACAGGGTGTTAGGAGGAGCACCTAACGAATGAATCAGTAAACCCTAAACAAATTAAACTCCAGCCATTTTCAGGATATTAAGGAGAATAATCGGACCGGTTGTTCAAAAGAATGTTTACGCAAAATCTTATACTACTATGGGTAAGTAAAGAATTGAGGTCGCTACGAACAAATAAATATCTACTCTGCGCTATGGGATCTTCTCATGTCTGGCGGCCAGTACACTGTAACAACAAATTTGTCTTTTTGACCTACCAATAGGGGCGGACAGGTTTTCACGAAGAGCCAATCAGAGCTGCCCGGTGACCTTAAAAATTTTGTGTAGCAAAACAGTTCCAAGGCCCTAAGCAAGAATTGTATCACTACAGAGCACAATCGTCTTTTGTGGATTATAACGTGCAAGGACATCAGCTGTTTCAAAGTTGATTTGCTGGGTTGAAAGCACTTCAGTGAACCGCGTTCCGTTCTCACGGTTGATTCTTGCGTAAACGATGTTGAAGTGGGTGAAAATGAGTTGATGTTGGCAGCTTGAACCTGGAGAACTGGGTGAAGTCTCCTAGAGGACCGTAGTACGTTCACATTTGCTGGAGCAGGGCTCTTATTTTACTCATCTAACGGACACAACCCATCACATGACAGTTTATGCCCAAAGTATTGCACACTTGAGACAAGAAACTCACACTTCCCATTTTTCAGTATTAGACCCGAATCTGATAGTGTTTTGAGAATCACATGCATAGCGCGCATAAGTTCAGCATTAATTATGACGTCATCCAGAAGAGCATATATATTTGGTGTCCTTCATCAGCGGGCCAATAATTCGTTGAAATATAGCCGGCGCATATCAACCCGAACAGCATGCGTAGGTAGCGGAATAGCCCAATATGAGTGCTTATGGTCGTGTAGACCCGAGATTATTCATCGAGTTTAATCTGTTGGTATGCATGGCTCAGGTATAATGTGGTGAAAATTCCACTACCAGGAACTGACGCGTAGATATCTTGAGTCTTTGGCAGGGGGTCGTCGGTCAAACCGTAACGTCTCACTGATCGTAAGTTTGCAGTCTCCACTGGTTCTCACAATACTGTCACAGTGGGCGCTGCCCAGGCTGAGCAGATGCAACCGTGCGATTTCCCGGAGTTGGAGTAATTCCCCTCGAGCGCCCTGAAGTGCTTAAGGCACAGTGCCCGCTTTCTAGAATTTTGGCAATGGTTTTGGTTTAACTATCGGACGGGTACTGTAATTCCTAAACCTCCTGGCGTGATTTGGTCGAATGATACAGTATGTTTCGATAAAATATCGGATATTTACAGATGAGTATCAACTGAGTTGACATTCGACATAGTGTTAGACAGACGTTTGAAACCCTCGCGACCATATTTGGACCTGGCCCACCAGATACGTACAAACACATATGGCTAGTTGAACTGCGGTAAGGAATAAGTGCGACGAAGGTGACGCAGACATTTGTTATCTGCCCGGTGTAAGATAGCAGTTGTATTTTGGGTGGGTCGTTTTGGCGGCTGCGATAATGCGTCTGATCGTATCAATATAAGTGCAGAACCAGTATTAATTTCAGAGGCCACAGGTTGATCATTTATTTGCAAAAATAAAAGAAACGAATTTCCCTCTGAGAGGTAAGTAAGCGACCGTATGCGCTGAATTCTGGGCCAGCATTTGATTAGACAAGGTGAACATGGGCCAATGAGCACAGTGAAGGGACGAATTGCACACACATGTGCTGATGTGCACACACACACGTGAACCAATACACTGCACATTCGGTAAATGTGACGCGTAGGCTGCCTGCTGAGGATGCATTAGTGGGTAAGCACGTTCCGTTGCTCGACAACCGGCAAACTGTTGAGCTGTGGGAGTTTGCGATGGAAATCTCGATAAATTACTGCGGCCCACCTGGGATCTGAGTTGTCCAGAATAGATAAGAGGAACAAAGCGTCAAGTTACCTTAAACTGACCTGAGCTTATGAGAAGCTGCGCGTTTTCCACGCGCAGCAGCAAGCCCAAGCTACAGTAGTAGGTTAAATTGTTGGCGATCTTATGAATAGAAGAAACGTGTTGACAGATCAACAAACGACAACACAGAGCTACGGTAAACGATTCGGCTCTGGACCATACCGAGACAGCCCGGAATACAACAACTGAAGTTCAGATCTCAAAAGCCAATAACTACGGTGCGCTCGCCGCATTTGTCGTGTACTGTTTTACGTTATGAAATAGAACAAAACGATTTGCCACTGAGTAGAAATAGAGGATTAAATAAGTTGACTTCACAGTCGTCACAGACTGAACACCTATGTATAGACGCCATATGCAGTAGTTAGCAGGTGTTAAATCAGGCATATGCGTCGTCCTAATACCATAAGTGGTAATGCTTTTGTAAGTTACGACCAGTATTTCAGGAATCAAAGTTTCTTTCGCTTAGTCAAAGTCTGAGGCAAAGCTCACTGACGGCAATCGACAGTTAAGGCAGACGTACTTAAGACCGCCGATAGGACGCGTGATGTAATTCCATTTGTTCCTTATATCTGTGAACACGAAGCCTACCGGGGACTATAACCGAAAGCAATCAACGCACCATCGTTTCAATAATTAAGGGGAGTTCTATAAACTCTCCGAGCAGAGTAAAGTTAACATGCCACTGTAGCTAACGTCGAATGTTACATCCGTGGGGCAGAAACCCGAATATAGCGATATGTGGGAAGGAAACTGAGAACGTCACGACCGACTTAGAGCACGTTCCAGTCCGCAATCAATCGCACTTTTTAAAATCCTCGTCTTCAGATATAAGGTTAGGAGATAAGCGATTACGTGGCGATCGCGGAGTTTAGGGTGTGCTACTACGTTGTACACGGCCCAAAACAGTCCGAACACCGCCTATGCGTCTCGAAAATCCATCAGGTACGAGTCAACTGCATGGTATGCGTAGCTTATCGAGACAAGCTGTAAATATCACCATGTTGCTGTTCAATGTGAGGTGGGGTTCGCCTACAAAACTGCACTGTACTACCGGCTTCATATCTGATTTTATTCCCCATATAAATAAGTGCAAATTGAACCCGGAATGTATAGACTGCCAGCCGAACACTTGAACATTACACCGCCGCGCCGTGGATAAAGCTTGTCAAGATGGCTAACGACTCTCTGGAAGCACACCAGTTGTGGTTGGAGACTAAGAAACACAATTCAGGCGCTTAGTTAGGGCTCTAGGTGAAACACACTGGCATAGTTGCATAGGAGACTTCTCTCGGTTCGACTAGAGGACCGCTGGCACGCACATCCGCTCTGGGCACATAGCATGGTAAATCTGCCAAACACCCAAACTGCATCAAATAAAGCTTGCAGAGGCAAGCAATGATGAAGATGGATCAAGCTAGCAATGAAGGGCGAGTGAAAGAAACGACGTGGAGACAGAATTGATCAAGCGATCGAGTTATGGCAATCGACGGAATGGCTGGAGAACAACGACAAGTCACATTTACATTGGATTTCATAGATCACAGAAATCTGCAAACTGGTTAAGTGGAAGGGAAGAATACGTATAAGAGCGGTAGTTCGGCCCATACGTCGTAGAAGGAAAAGGGGGTATGCACAAGCACACAAGAAAAAGCAATTAAAAATCTGAGCCCTGTTAAGGAAGAAAATAATGAAGTAAAAGCGGGGGAGCAAAAAACCACAATAACGACATACAAAGTAATTCCGTGTGAGAAACGGGGAATCGTCGACCTGTGATTTTGAAAAGAATGAAATAGAAGAATTCAGAAGAAACGTTTGGCACAAAAATACGGATAGGAGAATAGTTTGATAGTTGATGAAATACATCTATATCATCTCATGCTGAAGGAGAATTAAAAAAATATCATCTTCATCTTTGAAGAAGTTCAAGCATGCACTGTAAACAAAGTGAGACAGACCTGATTAAAGTCAAGGAAAAGGGGCCAATTACGACACTGTATACGACATCACGAAGATATTTGCAGTCGCCAAATCTTGAGGCGAGAAAGACGCGCTAGCACAAAGCTTCCAGCAGATGGATGCCATCAGCATGACTCACTGCAAACACATAGGACCCAGGCCGCCAGCTGACTTGTAACCATTTGCAACCGACGTCAATCCCGAATTTCCCACACTCTGAAGAGTAGTCAAAACCGAGAGAGCCAAGAGCGCCGGTATCTTTTTCTTCAACGATGCGCCGAGGCCATGGAAGTTCGGCAGAGTCTGCCAAAGAAAAGGCGAAGAGGCCAGGATCTACTGGTGCACTGAAGGGGTCGACGAAAGGACTGAGTTCTTCCTTCTGCATCACTAAGCTGTACTCAGAGTTTTCGTGAGTATGTCGGTCGAAAACTTTAACCGACCGATTGTACGATCCAGAGGCGACGAATCTGGTGTATGACCGAATACAATAAACATGGGGTGAGTAGTTTTTCAGGTGAGAAAGATAATAACTGACCAACGTCAAAAATGAATCGTGCAAAATGGGTGAGTGTTGGTACATTCGTTGTCGAAGTTGTGTGATAGAGTGCAGAAAACAAGGAGCACAGCGCAAACAAGACAGTAGTACGCTAGATTAACGCTGTAACTCAGTTATTAACTATAGGTGGTGGTAAGAGGAGAAACAGAAAAGACCATCGTCAGAGATGAGCGATAACCAGACTCAAAAAAGTATTTTGGTTGCAACCGAACTGCTCAGCTCAGTAAGACCTTAACTGTCGACTCGAGCTACCGATATTTTGTGTGGATGCAAACCGAGAAAAACATGGCACTAACGATCAAAACAGCCTTATCCCGCTTGTCAAGGTATGTGGTGGGGCGGGGATAGAACAAACTCTTCTTTGCAGTGTGGGCATGCGGTACCTCGAGAGAAAGTAGTCTGTGAAAACCGCGGCGAATCCAGTAGGATCCAAGTATGGGTCTGTTTGTAGAGAGAGCACCTGAGTCCAAATTAACACACGATGGTAGAAGGGTGGCTTTCTAATATTCTCTTGGAACCAATGGTGCTGCCGTTTCGCGTTTTCTACATATCATACGCGATGGCCAAACGAAAAAAGTGGACATAAGTCGTGGCATGGCTCGGCCAAAATATGATAGCCTGTGCACCAACAATCATGTAACGATGACATAAAAGTTCCCTCATTTATTCTTCAACTGAATAACAGAAGAATGCCATTGGCACTCCGAGGCTAATAGTAAGATGTAATTCAAGTCAACTATAGAAGGATTCAGAATGCCTTATCCCGAGAGACGTTCGTCAAACTCATTGGTCCCTTCGATATGGTCCCCATTATCTTGTGCCCAACTCAAAAATTGTGTGCTCTGGACCTAAATCCGGATTCGGTGACCAGATCGTTAATCAAGTTTTAGGTTTAGAATCAACCGACCAATATGAACTTTGAGAATTTGTCTCACTACAGTGAGTCCCAATCATACACATGTTGGGCCTGTTTCAATGTGATGGGAACAAGTTCGTGTCTACTACACCCACCTGGTGCCACCAGTTGGGCTATCGATGTTTTAGACTGTCTCAGATTGTTATCCCATTGCACCGTTTGGACGTTGACCCATAGTTCGAGTCGGTTACATTGATACTACTAAGCGTGACGACTTATGCCTGTGACACCAGATGGTCGGAACGTTGACGTGGATAGAGGTCAAGCATTCAAACCATTTCGGCTGTGCACCTGTGTTCGCGTTGTGTACCGTTGAACGTTTACAATGCCGGGCAATCGCTGTGCGCGTGTCACAAAGACACAACGCCCAAGACTCCGCATCGAATCATGTGGGGTTAACCACCGCCTTTATTCATTGTCATGTAAAAAACGCCACGCATTATGACACCGTTAGTTGGTGCATGTGTCAGTTGAAACCATATTTGTTGGATATGTGGAGTGAATTAAACGTGGTTGATACGGATTTGTCATAAGCGTAAATCCTTGGCTTGTTGATGTCGTGTTGCTGGCCGTTTGTAAGTAGTACCGTAATCCGGCTCTGGCTTTGGAGGAAACGCGTTGATCAAAACGTCCCAGCGCTTTGCTCCTTACACCGTTAACAAATATTCAATACACTGTCTTCATTCTCCGTCTCCTCATGCTATCGATCGTCGTGATCACGCTGGCAATTCAATCAAGAGACCGTATATCACAGAAAATTTTCGCAGCCAGAAACGTCAAAACATTGAGTGTAACTTGGTGATCTGGGTCAGATATGCCAAAGAGTAGTAGTGGAACGTGGCGGAGCTACAGATCAATAGGAAAGCAAACGGTAGAGCACAAACTATTCAAAACCGAAGCGACAAACCGGTGCCGAGTCCGAGGTGACCTCGAAAATTAGACTGGCAGTCCCAATACAATTCCGCTAGCCCACTACTCACCATGGAACATAATGTCCAAGCCAAAGAAACCGTGTACAAATATTAATCCATTTAAACGAGTCCCAAATAGAACGAAATCTGAATGTTTGCGCGGTGCATGCGGTTTAACCTGCATTTAATTACTCACACACAGAGTGTATCATCGCATAACCTTGGATAGTGCCTCTTTTCGAACGTATGCAGCCTGTTTCGTGAACAGAGCTCTACGTTAGCCTTCTCTCTAACAATCCATTGATTTAGCTGGCTAGAAATTTAGAAACAATCGTGCACAAAAAGTAAACTGCAAAATAGACAAGATCATGAATAAACGCCATAGAGGTACGCCTTGACGGAGGCCATAACAGGTGTGCTAAAGATGTAGAACTCACCGATCGTCTGAAGAAACGGTTAGCTTGAAATCGTCACATAATAACTCTGATTCGTACAAAACGCCCAGGTGATCTCTTAGTTGTGTTTGGACTGGGTGAACTTCCACCGGGACACTGGGCATGTTCATGTCCCACACTGTGAATGGGAGAAAAGTTGATTCGGAATGGAAGGTGGGCGACAAATGAGCTGAAAATATGCCACGTAAAAGCATGCGCGCGTGATTGGCACGGAGTCATGGTAGTACTCGTGGCAGTACTCGCGTGCGTAGTCTAAACAAAGGCAACTGAAGATGGTCTAGAGAATTAAAGACTGTGAAGAATTGTGAAAAAGTTAAAAGTAGTGGTATATTTTTCGTATTATAAACTGCACGTAGACGATAGTTTGTTGCTGGGCTCATCAGAAAAACAGAACGCCTTGTTGGGCAATGTACTCGTTTACAAGCCAATTTGAAGGCAATCAGTGGAGAGAAGCAAATGCCATCCATATGTAAACGTGCTGAATAGTTGTAGAGCAAATGGTCTTATCAAGAAATCTGCTCACAAGAAAACAACATGGTCCAGACAGCCCTAAACCTTATCAGCATCACTCCGATGAGGCACAAACAAATTCTAATCAAACGTTAGCCGAATGAGTATAATATGTAGCCCAGACAACCTAAAAGAAAATTGCATCTGTCTACCAATACACTCTTGGGAAAAGGTTATCCGGCCCAGTTGATAGGAAAACAACCAGAGGAGAGTGGCAGAAGAGGTCCTTACAACGACCAAGGCGAAAAACTTCGTCGCGTTATCAGTTAAGGGTGATTTGACCACTATTACGAGAGCAATCTGTATAATTTCCACTGGTCATAGGATTTGTCTGTTGCGGAAATTGTCCATATGAACACTATCCCAAAACTGGCTGCCTCACTAACGCATCGGTGCATACTAACGTTGGTCTTGCTAATTTCCCGGCAGTTGTAAACCAACATACACAGGCAAAACCGATAGCATAATGAACTCACGAATTAACAATAATACCGGTAGAAAAAATTGGGGCCTGACGCATTACGGAGGAGGTCGGTGTGATCAATGAGAAAAATAGCTGCCACTAAGGTAAACCGAGCATCTGTAGACTCACCATAATATTCAGGTCAACACACATTTGAGTACATCTACTCCGATTTCGTCGGGGCTGATGGGCACAGTGTTTGCCTGCGTTTTGTCGTCAACCGATGAAAGGGAGCCATGTCAGGTAATGCAAATAGTATCATGCACCGTCAAATTATTTTTTAACTTGGTAACATGGGCACATAAATGATATAAGATGGAAGGGTGTTACACGGCTAACAAATGCTAAGAGGAAAAAATACTTCAGCGGCAGCCGGCTGAATTGGTTGGCCAGTTTCAAACGGTGATCCCGCAGTTTAATGTTTCGGCTAAGTTTCAGGTGGCAAAGGTGATACGTCATGAAGAGATTACCCCGTAGATGGTGATAACTGCCACTGTTTACACCCAGGATTTTCACTCGCAGTTGGTATGGCAGATGGAGCGAGCCCTTAACGTTCTGGTTGACCTGTTCAGTGGAGTCTCGAGTGTAGCTAGATGACGCTTTAGTAAGAGAGGCCAGGCCTGAATCGCGTAGTCCACATGGCTAGCGGCATCCGGTTTCAGATTTGCCTGTCACTGTGGCCTCCACAGAACGCCTGCGCCTACAGAGGGACCATGGGTGGCTTGCGCTGCACCATCCACAGCTCCAAACACACCTCATATCTAGCGTAAACCAGAAGGAATACGACCGGGAGGCATGTGGATGGGAGCCACGTTTCATCAATGGAGCCGGCTCACACTCCTTCACAGGCAAACACAAGCACGCTGTATTTGGGGAATCAAGCGCACACAAGACGGTGGCTGGACCGTAGTCCGCTCCACACTGAGTGCATGGAACCACTCTTCGAGCCTAGCACGAGCACAAGGACCGTGCACTCCCTCCCCTCCAGCAACGACCAACTGTCTCCTGGACCCAGTATGGACGAGTTAGTGGGTAATAGACTGGTAGGCACCTTGTCAACATGCACATCAAACGCAGCCACACCGGGGATGTCAAAAACAGCCAATCACTTGAAATGACATTATCAAATAAAATATGTTAAAGTATATGTCTATGCCGGCATAACTATTCGGCAAATTAGAATATGCGGTGAGTTGCTTATCAAAGAGTGCGTGAGGTTCGGATCCCGAAGAACCTGGCTACAAGCGACCATTCAGTGCTCATAGCTGATATGGAATTATTTCTGCTGTATTCACGTCCGCTGGAACCAGCTCACAACTACTGGAAAACGGACTTCGATGGTCTAGCTCGAGCCGCGAGCCAACTGGATTGGTCTCTGTCACAAGCTGCATCTGTGGAAGACTGTTGGATATTTATAAAAGAGAGATTGGCATCAAGGTGTTGCCAATTTGTGTCATTGAAATGTCGGAAAGTTGGACCGGTTAAGCTGCATTGGTTTGACAAGGAGTATGGAAACCTGGCTCGGAGGCGGCGCAGACTGTGGGACAAATTCCTCCTCTCTGGCTCTGCCAATGATTACGAAGGGTATAAATGTCAGCGGAACCTCTGCAACAGTGCAGAAAAGAATAAGCATCGACATTTCGAAGAGCAGCTCGCAATAGCCGCAAAGACCGCCCCAAAGCGAATCTTTGCATATGTGAAGCGACGCCTGAAGCCGGTAGGTGATGTGCCAGCGCTGGATGGCCCAGATGGACAGCCTCTAACCTCCAGCAATGAGCGTGCGTCCGCGTTGACGGCCGACTTCGCTTCTGTATTTGCGAATGACCAGGTGTCTGTTCCGAGTTCGACGTGTACTGCTTTTACTGAACTCGATAGTCTGCATTGCGGCGTTGAAGAGGTATGTCAACTACTCGCCAACGTTGACAGCACCAAACCTGCCGGACCTGATGGGCTTCACCCACTGGTTCTCAAGTCACTTTCGACCATCCTCTCCCCTGTCGGGACTGACCTTTTCAACAGATCACTGTCCGAAGGTTCGTTGTCGGTTGACTGGAAATGTTCGGTGGTGAAGCCTATTCCGAAAGGCGGCGACCCTAGCAAAGTAGACAACTACTGGCCAATTTGTCTGACACCTATTTTGGCAAAGGTTGCTGAGAAAATCGTGAAGAAGTTGCTACAGTCAAAGGAGGTCCTGACGTCCGCACAGCACGGTTTTATGTAGGGCCGCTCACGCATTACGAACCTGCTTGTGACGAGGCATGAGTAGTTGAACGCAATAAGCAAGGGGAAGTCTGTCGACGTGATATTCATCGATTTCAATAAAGCGTTCGACAAGGTCAGCCATGAGGTTCTCCTTCACAAACTCAGGATGTGTGTTGTCGGTGGTTCACTGCACCCGTGGATCCCCAACTTTCTTGATGGACGACAGTGGAGAGTACAGGTCGACGACCATCTAACTGACTGGTACCCCTCTACAAGTGGCGTGCCTCAAGGCACTGTGCTGGGGCCCACTCTGTCCCTGATTACATCAACGATCTACCGCAGCTTCTCCAGTCGCCGTGTGCCTTGTTTGCGGACGACATGAAGATTTGGAGAGAAATTGACGCTTCCGATGACTGTGGCCCACTTCAGCAAGACCTCAACCGCCTATCCACATGGTCTGCAGAAGTTCTTCTCTCGATCAACCCAGCCAAGTCTGTATTTATGAGCCTGAGGAAGGGTGCTGATGGCCGAGCCTACAGCTATGACGGCCAACCACTATATCCCACACCCTCCGTGAAGGACCTAGGTGTACTCTCGCGCTACGATTTGAAGTCCGTGGACAACACGAACAGGCTATATCGTAACGGACTTCGCATACTTTGGGCGCTCAAACGTAGCTTCGGCACATTGTCTGAAGAGGTTGCCACTCGCCTCTTCTCTTCCATCATTCGACCAATGCTAGAGTACGGTTCGCCCGCCTACTTTCCGATTACCTGAGGCGAGGCACAAAAGATCGAACGGGTCCAACACGTTGCTGCCAACCTCATCCCGAGTTTACGTGGCTTGGCGTATGAAGACCGGTGCGAGAAACTAGGACTCTATACCTTGTCCTACCGTCGGGTGCGAGTCGACCTCATTATGACCTACCGTCTTCTATATCTCGGTGACTTCCCAATGCTAAGGCCAATGCTGCACTTACGAGGGCCATGCAGCACACGCGGACACAGATACAAACTTATCGTGCCGGATGTGAAATGTGTTCCCCACCCCCTGTGCTTCGAACGGAGAGTGGTAAATATTTGGAACAGTTTACCTAAATATGTGATGGAGGCAAGATCTGCGCAGCAGTTCAAAACGTTGTTAGATTTATATTTTACCACTATTCGATTCAGAGAACAATTGCACAATTACGATGACATATCACACTTGTGAGTCCTGAAATATCGTGAGCCAGATATTTTAAATATTACATGAGAACGACGATATTCACGGACGACATCTTTTATAACATTTTTCACCATATTTCGAAAGAGTTGTACAGAATTCATTTCTACTTGCTCTATAATACAGTATTCAGTATTCAACGAATGCGCGATAAGTACAAAATGTGCACAAATTTATTCAAAAAAATGCCACAAACGCGATAAAGTCGACGAAGATAACCACAATTAGCGTAAGCAACATGTGCAAGTTAATAGATTATTCAGGTAGACAGAACAAACCAAAGAAAGTGGAATCAAATTTATCCAGCATAAAAAGACCTAGATTAAGGGTATGTTGGTTTAGCCCAACTGCGGTGAAGAAGCATCATGAATGCAACATCAGTCTCAGCATGGGGCCTCACATACACACTGAGCATTCGCGGGAAGGCCCACAGTGAGGGACAAACATGTTGGTTCTTGGTTTTGGACACACTCATGGATGGTTCCGAACAGTCGACGTCATCTTGAATCACTACCCCAAGGTCGCGCTTCTGTGAGGCGGTTTTCAGAATGTCACCGCCCAGCTTGTGACGGATATGCACTATTTTACACTTGTCTGTGTTGAACGGAAGCAGACTTGTCTGTGACTATTCAAAAGCACAGTCAGATCTCGTTGCAGCACATCGTGATCTCTCGCAAACAGTCGCTGAAGTAAAAGTGACGCGGGTAAATCCTGGGGGA